AAAACTCCTTAATGACGTCGTTCAAGTAAGGTTTAAATGGTAATTTAGTTTTTTTGTTAACGGCTGGTTGACGGTTTTTCATTGAGTGCAACAAACTGATAGTTTAGGGAGAATTTTTCTTAATTCAAGAGGGTTTCTTGCAATTGGGTTATAATTCAGGGGGGTTTAGTTTACTTAACCCTTCTCTTTATCTCCACTCGTCCTTCATTATTATATTTGTTCTCTTTACATCTCATTTATGCTTCATCTTTATTTTTTTAATTAAAAGCATGATTTGGCAAGATTTTTCTACTTGGTGGTTAGTAAGGAATTGTGCCTATAAATAGTGAAGGTTTGTCATCTCTCTAGCTCATTCAATACAAGTGTGTAATTGCCATCATTTATACACATTATAGATACAACACATAAGTGAGCAAAGTGTGTTGAAGGGATTAAGGAAGAGAAACCATCTTCTAGATCTTCTTGATTAATCCAAGAGGTAATTATTATTCATTCAATACTTCAACATTTTCGCACATATGAATTAAGGTATTTATGACTATACATTATCTACGTCAAAATATACATTAATGTTCTACTAACTAGTGATGATCATGAAGTTCAAGATCCAAAATATAAATTGCGATTAATAATCACACAATTAATTATAATGTCATGTTTTTTAACAGGTTGGTGTCTCTTAGCAGCAATGCAGTTGGAGAATTTTATTTATTTATTATCATTATTATTATTATTATTATTATTATTTTGGAGTTTCAAACCAATTTGTGTGTATGATGAATGGGATACCTGTTGAGCGTTGATTTGATTTGAGAATTTGGGATGCAACTTGGGCGGCCTAACCTAGCCCAATTCAAACCCAACCCAAAAATTTTGAAATTTGAATTTTTAAATTCACAAATTAAATTCAAATTAAGTTGGGTTTTATCAAAACCCTGTTCAGGTTGGGCCCGGGCTCAACCCAACCCAACCTAACCCGAAACCCAACATTAAAAAAAAATTCCAATATTTTTTATTTTTTATCTTCCAAATCATATATATACGTATCTATATATATGAAGCACCCGCCTCCCGCCGTTGCCGTTTTCCTCCTCCTCCTCCGCCGACTCTATTTTTCTCCTCATCTGCCTCTGTCGCTACCGCCGTCTCCCTCTCCCTCCTTCTCTGCCTCTACCGCCGTATCCCTTCCTTCCTCCTCTACCAACTATATCTTCCTCCATCTCTGCCTCTGCCTCTACTGCCGCCTTCTTCCTCCAGCTCTGCCTCCGCTGCCGCCGTCTTCATTCTCCATTGTCACTACAGCCAAAACCACAACCATGATTGCAAACAAAGTCTTTGTGTGTGATCTTTGACCTTGATTCCCAGTGGCAATCACAGTTTGTGAGATGAGCATTTGGAAAAAAAAAAAAAAATTGATGTAAAGAGAGAGGGTTGTTGGGCAATGATTTTTTTAGGTTATATTCTATTTTGAACTCTCTTTTTTTTTAAAAAAAAAAAAATTAGGCCTACCAAAATAATTAAAAATTATTTTTGGAAATCCAAATTTATATATATGTAAAAATAAATATAACCCATATTTTTATGGAAGGTCTATTTTTTTTTTTTCCCGGCCTGTTAGTTTTTATCCTTTGATATTTTGATGGTATCCAAATATTCTTTTTGTTTTATTATTTTTGAATTTTAAATTTTTTGTTATATCTATATATATATTGTCATATGTTATATGTGTATATATATATTTATATAGAGGCCTACCAAATTTATATATATATAAGTAAAAATATAGCCCATATTTTTATGAAAAATAATTTTTAGTCCTATTTCTTGTCGATTTTGTCATTCTTATTAATTTTTATCCTTTGATACTAGTTGTTGGTACCCAAATCTTCTCCTTGTTTTATTATTTTTGAACTTTAAATTTTTTGTCTACTTATATATAAATATATATTGATGGCATGGTATTAGTGTGGGGAGAGAGAGAGGCCTCACTCATTGCCAAAAAAAAAAAAAAAACCAAGACAACCCGATCAATCCGAAAATATTTGGATTGGAATTTATGGATTGAAGCCCAAATTCAAATTACCTCGGGCCAGCCCAACCCAACCCAAAGCAAGGTTGAGGTTGGGCTGGGTTGGGCCAGCCCAAGTTGCACACCTATGGAATTGTTGTAGAATTTTTTTTTCTTTCTTCTTTATACTTGCTCAAAAATGGGAAATTTCAAGATTTTACTACATGATTCCTTAATCTTCTTCTTCTTCTTCCTTTTTTTTTTCATTGGCTCATGACGTCTAATGTTGACTTAGGTTTCAATTCTATTTTGAACATAGATATTCATGTTGGGCTTGAGTTTAGAGTTTGTGATTTGCTAAAATTGGGGATTGATTTCCTTGAGAGCTGGGTTTAAAAAAAAAAAAAAAAAAAAGGAAAAATTCCATTCAAGTCCCACTTTTCAACCCCAAAGACAATTAAGTCCTAAATATTTTTAACTTGGACCAATAAGTTCTATTTTCAAATTTGTTTCCAAATTGGTTCAAATATATATATATATATATATCCAAAAGTACCCTTTTTAGTACTGCAGCTTTGATTCCCTCTCTTAACCTATGTACTATACAAATAGGTCAATTATAAAAAAACACCCCTCAAGTATGTATACAGTGCATATTGCACCCTTCTTGTGCAATAAACACCCCTAAACTATGACATTTGTGCAAATAAGTCTTCCTTATGCATTTAAGATAAAATTGGACTAAAATACCCTTAATGACACATTTTTTTAAATATATAAAAATAATAATATAATGTAAAATGACAAAAAAAAAGTACCCAATATCCATCTTCTTCAACTCCAATACAGTGAGGAGAAAAGCATTTCCCGAACCGACGAAGCTTCACCATCATCCACAGAGCACTTTAGGATGGATTGGCTTCGCAACCACCCTTAATCATACAGATTCCAGTTTATATCCCATTCCTTTAGGAAAAAAAAAAAAAAAAACTGTATTTTGTTTCTATTAAATGTTTCCATTAAAACATAAACAAAACCTAATGTCTGTGGAGCTGTACGGGAGTCTAAAACTCATATTCAAAACAAGTTTCTCCTAGAGTTAAGTTAGACAGTAACGGTTTTTTTTCTGTGTTTTATTATGCAATAAAATATGTACAAAATTTATTCAATGTGACATGAACTAGAGGATCGATGAGCAAGGATTCAAGCACAGACTGATTCTATCGGCGGTGACGAACAACAATCAAACTGCATTACTTGATGGAACGAACGCCGAGCAAGAAGCTCACCGGCGAGCACGCGGAATGGCGATGGCGGTGCGATACTCCACTGCTCGATACGATCATGACAGTGGCGGTCACTTCACAGCGATCTACAATCATCCTTTTCACTGCTCTCTGCCGCCTCCTCTATATATGTATATATATACATGACTGTATTTATGTATGTGAAAATTAGGTCTTGTGGTTTGTAGAAAGAGAGAAAATATGGGTGTGGAGGGAAAAATTTCCCTCCAGTAAGAATGAAACACGTCACCATTATACAAATCTGCATTTAGGAGATCTTAAAAGCCCATCCGGATCAAGCCTAAGTTACATTGTGCTTTAACCCATTATCATTTATGTTGGGCCTCTAAAGCCATGTAAGAGTATCGATTAGCCCAATGTCACCGTTGTTGAAGTTTTGGTCCATTGGTCAAGTCACTTACACCAAACCATATCCGGCCCAAGTATAATTAAATATGGCTCAGTCCTATTAAGCAAAGGAGTTAACCCAGAAGGAAAGTCTTTATACAAAGCAAGTTCCATGTAGAAAATATCATACAATGGAAAGAACTCTATTTGTAAAGAAAGTCATGTATGGGAAGAATTGGAGGACAAGCAACACGAGTCCTACCATAATTCTACTAACTTTTGTGTATAAATAGAGGCCTAAACCTCCAATAAAGGGGCGAGCAATTCAATTATTCTATAGACACTGTTCTTATTTATTTTTATTATTTATTGAGTGTGTTGTATTATTTTCTCTCAATCGTAATTAGTTGAGCGGAATTTTGCACCTACACTTTGGCGCCGTCTGTGGGAACGTGTGTAAATATATTCCTACTCTTGTTTCACAGGTGAATCCTGCAACTACCGTCCAGAATGTCAAATGGAGGATCTTCAACAAATCACCAGACGGAGTTGATGCAGAAGATGCGTGAAGAGTTTCTACACCAGTTTGACGTACTTCGTCAGGCAAACGAAGCGAGCGTAGCTCAGATCGCCTTACTTCAACAGCAGAATAACACTCTGTAAACGGCGATGGCTCAGTTGGCACCACCACCACCAATGGGTGACACAGCAGCACCCCTCCGATCACCGGGCTTCCACCTAATGGGGCACGTCCCAATGAGGCTCAGCCAAATAAGGTTCAGCAACAACAGAGGGCAAAATTCGAGGCTGTGGCTTTAGACAACATCCCTCGTTGCACGTAGGACGAGCAAGTCAAATCCAGCCATAAGCTCACGGTGTGGTCCAATGGAATTCCAGATGGTACAGGTGTTCAGGATGCCTTTAATGAGAAAAGACTCCTGAAGATTCAGATACCTACTGAGATGGCTAGAGAACACAAAAATTCCTTGGTCAAAACTCCTTTCACTGACGATGTGTATCTGGTCGAGAGGCCCAAGAAATTTACCATGCCTTCTTTCACCCAGTTTGATGGAACGAGGGATCCTTCTCGACACCTAGATCATTACGCTCAAAAGATGGCTTTGGATGATCGTAATGACCCTTGGATGTGCAGAGTTTTTCCTACCAGCTTGACAGGAACAGCACTAGAGTGGTTCAGGAATAGGCCGCATAAGTCCATCCCAGATTACGTAACTCTGTGCACCATGTTCCTGGCATAGTATTGCTGAAATAAGAAGCAAAAGAAGAGTATTGCCAACCTCTTCACCGTAAGGCAAAAGAAGGGGGAAACATTGCAGGATTTCTTATCTAGATTCAACATGGAAGCCTCGAAAATAGCAGATTGTCATCCCGCGACTGCTATAGAAACATTTAAACTTGCGATGATTCAGGGGACAAAGTTTCACACTTCCTTGGTCAAATATTCTCCTCCCGACATGCAGACTCTCAATGCCAAGGCCCAGATCTACATTCGGCTCGAGGAAAATATAGCCCACCGAGTGCAGCACGCCACCCTCGTGACAGTGGAGAACAAGCCTCGAGAAAGAATTCTAAATTCAAAGATTCAGAAAAGCCAACGTGCCTCAACGCCAATCACCCAGGCACCTGAGAAGAGGCAAAGGGTAGAGGAAGGGTTTACACCTCTCCGAACTACCTTGGCTCGGCTTTTCCAAAAGAATAAGATGAAGTTCACAACCCCGCAGCCAATAAAGCAACCCCTGGAGCAAAGGGACAAAAGCAAGCATTGCACTTATCATCGAGATTATGGGCATTCAACCAATAATTGCAGATCCCTTAGGCGACAGGTGGAAAATATGATAGCCAGAGGTGAGTTGGCGGACTACCTCATGACAAAGGAGTATGCAAAGCCCCGCGAGGTCTATCCTCGCAAGGTAGAAGGTACACATGTAAAGGTTATTCATGCAATACATGGCAGGTCTGAAGATGATCAAGAGTCTGAGGGGGTATACAGATCCAGATTGAGGGCAGCCCACAAGCTCAGGAAGATATCCTCGGTCAATGTTATCGCTTCAGGTAGCATCAGTATTGGATTCGGAGATGACGACCTATCCAGAGTTCAACTCCCCCATGAGGATCCATTGGTCATCAGTCTTTCAGTGGCCAATTGTATGATCAAGAGGGTTTTGGTAAACCCAGGAAGTAGTGCCAACATCATCACAAAGACGATTTTTAAGCAACTAGAAATCCTATCATCATCTATTCGACCTACCTCCAACCCATTGATGGGATTCGATGGCACAATAGTAGATCCCCTTGGAGTAATAGACTTGTCCGTAACTGCGGTGAAGAGGGCTCTGAAGGAGAACTTTGTTTTAACAGAGATCCATCCTTCTTATAATCTCATCATGGGAAGAGGCTGGATACACCGGATGAGAAGAGTTCCATCTACCCTTCACCAGGTGATGCTGTGCTTATCTCCTGATGGAAAAGAAGTGATTAATCTATGGGGCGATCAAGTCGCTGCGAAGGAATGCTATATGTTGACACAGGCTGAAGCAAAGAAGGTGTCTACTCAGCAGCAACCAGGTATGGCTTCCAAAAATATAACCAAATAGAAATTACAGAGCCCTCTACCCAAGTATCTTAAGGTAGAGGAGGAAGAGGAAATTGCAAAGCCTACCGAGGAGACCCTTGAAGCCGTGGAAGTTATCCTCAGCGACCCTCAGAAGATTACTTATTTAGGCTCTTCCTGCACGTCCGAAGAAAATGAGGCGTTAATTGATGTCATTCGGAGCAATGTAGATACTTGTGCATCGGATCACTCGGACATGGTAGGAATCGATCCTTTAGTTTCCTACCATAGCCTGAAGGTGGATCCGGAGTTCAAACCGGTTAAGCAGAAACACCGAAGGGTTGCCCCCAAACGCAAGTGCATTATAGCTGAAGAAGTGAACAAGTTGTTGCAAGCAAGTTTCATTCAAGAAGTGCAATATCCACAGTGGCTGTCAAACGTGGTGGTCGTACAAAAGAAGAATAGAAAGTGGAGGGTTTGTAATACCCCTAATTTTAAAAAGGATATTCCTGGTATTTAATGGTAATTAATTTATTATTTAAGTGCATTTTATTTGATTATGTGTCATTATTTTTTTTATTAGGTGCTTAATTGTTCTCTTTTGTGGTGGTTTAATTTATTTAAATGATATTTATTTTTAGTTATTTAATTGGAATTACTTGTTAGTGTTTTAATTATTTAATTGGCATTAATGGTTTAAGTGTAATTGGTTTAGTTATTTTATGTGTGTCTTATTTGGTTTAATTGGGTTTACTAAGTATTATTTTGTTCAATTAAATTATTTGTTAAGTATTTAATGGTGAATAGGGTAATTAGGTAAATACATCTAACTAGGGTTTTAATTACAGTATAAATTAGGGTTTTATATTATAGCCGTCGTAGGTTTCTACGTTAATTGGATGGGCCGGTTAGGATTGTGAGTTGGACTTAAATGAACCTAGGTTTTAGGAAAACTCTATAAGTATAAGGTAGACGTCTGTGTAGGGTTTTTTTAAACAAAGCACACGTTTTGTGGAAGTGGAGAAGGAAAAACGCAGCTTTTCACATTCTGCCAAGGTTTGATCAAAGCTCCGATTCCGCTTCGTCCGTGGTCCGATCGAGCTGAATTTTGGAGTAGAGGTTCATGACTCAGTTACGCACAATCTGAATGGTGAAGATCAGAGTTTAACCTCGGGAACAGTGATTCGTACTCGTGAACAGTAACCGGGTCACACATATTTTTTCCATTCTGCCCAGATTTCATCAAACATCCGATCCTGCTTCGTCCGTGGTCCGATCGAGCTAAAATTTGGAGGAGAGGTTCACGACTCAGTGATGCATAATTTGAACGGTGGAGATCAGAGTTTGACCTCAGAAACAGTGATTCGTACTCGTGAACAGTAACTGGGTTGCACAGGTTTTTTCCATTCTGCCCAGATTTCATCAAACATCCGATCCCGCTTCATCCGTGGTCCGATCGAGCTGAAATTTGGAGGATAGGTTCATGACTCAGTGTCGCACAATCTGAACGGTGAAGATCAGATTTTGAGTTCGGGAATAGTGTTTCGTACCCGTGAACAGTAACCGGGTTTTGGAACTCGCCGGGATTTTTTTAAGAAGACGACGTTGAAACTTTGAACAAAAGTTTCTGAGGCAAGATTCTATCCTTACTCTTTCCCTTAGGCTTCATACTCTTTGCACTCTTAAATGATTCCAGGATTAATGAAGATTAAACCAAACTAAAATGATATCTGTTCTGCTATGAAATTGGTAGTTACAGTAGTGTTGTATGCTTGTTCAACCTAGACTAAGCATGTTTGTGGATGCATTGTGGTTCTGTGGTTCACGTTTTTCCTTACCACTGCTAGTATAAATTATTGGAAGGATGGGTCTAGATGATAGCTATCTTAACTTCTGTAATGAGGATTTGAGTTTAACACTAGATCGGTTTTGTGGAACACTATAATTTGAGCATGTCTACATACATACTGTGAATATTGTTTTGATGCTTACATTATCATAGTTAGTATCAACTGTGGAGGTTAGGATTTTGTGATACATACCCTACATATCTGTATGTCATTTGTAAGGTGTTAAATGGAAGTTTTAATTAATTCTGTCTTTATATTAGACTAAAGGGAACAACTTAAATTGGGCGTGTATATGTCGTTGTTGTGACCCTGTTTATCAATGCTTATTTTATCACTGCTAACATTGAATGTTGGATGTTGGAATTTAGTTGATATATACTTGATTTATTGGTATTATTGACTACTGGAGGATTGGAAAGTAGGTACCGGTATGGGATGGTGGCATACTAAGGATGGGTTTGGTTTTTAAAACAATACCATTACCCACCTACTTGGAATAAGGATGGGATTAACTAAAAGTTAAGTCCCGTGGATTTGTATTGTCATGACAACTACTTGTTGAGCGGCAATACCAGGGATTTTGGATGGATTTTATATATGTACTATTATGGTGCCTCGGTATGAGCTTGAGCCTCAGGACCGATGGCTAGGGAGCGTATATGCATCGGGATGTGTAGCTGGCTACGATGGTTGGAGGTGTACCCTGTTTAGGTATAGGTACATATGCCCACTTCGTGTGCGTTTTAGCATGTTACCTCTATTCAGGTTGAGACCGGCCTATAGTCCAGTAAGAGTCCTTTAGTGTGACTATATATATATATATATTTACGGACTATTAGCTATTGTTGAATTGTTTAGGATGTACATGCGTATCGGGCCTCTGTTTGGATTGTAGTAGTATAGAACTTGCGCGTGGGCCTGACCCACTTCTATTTTTCAGGTACACGACAGTTCCAGGCTTAGACGTGTTCATGCTGAGCAGAGGTCTCTATTCACTCTTCCGACGATGTAGGGCTCTCTCTATAGTTTTATTTCTAGACGTTTATTACAGTTGTTCTATCTTCCGTTTGGATGTTTAATAGGGGTCCACTAGAGATGGATTCCCAAGTTGTAAACTGATGGAGTTTTGGAGTTTGGGTTTGATGGATTTTAATAATTATAATATTTTGCGGATTCTATTTTTAGTTCCTTCCAGCTTTAATTTCATTTCTTAATTTATTTTGTATTCCGTGTTCATTATAAAATATTAATTGTTTGATATTCCCTCGGGTTTGGGCCTGGGCCTGATCAACCCGTGTCTCGGATCCGAGGGGTATCTCAGGGTTTGTGTAGACCATACCAACCTTAACAAAGCCTGCCCTAAAGATAGCTTCCCTCTGCCCAAGATAGATTATATGGTTGATGCTACTACCGGTTACGAGAGGCTAACATTCCTTGATGCGTACTCGGGATACAATCAAATTCCTATGAACCCTGAAGATGAAGAAAAAACGGCTTTCATTACAGAAAAGGGGACTTATTATTACAGGGTCATGCCCTTCGAACTGAAGAACGCTGGGGCTACTTATCAACATCTTGTCAATAAGATCTTTGACAATTGGTTGGGAAAAACAGATGAAGCATATATAGATGACATGGTGGTCAAAAGTGTGAAGAAGGAAGACCATCCGAAGCACTTCCAGGAAGTTTTCAATACCTTGAAGAAGTACAACATGAAGCTGAATCCATCCAAGTGCTACTTTGCGGTATCATCAGGTCAATTCCTCGGCCACATAGTGAATAAAAGAGGGATAGAGGTAAGTCCGACTCAGGCTAAAGCCCTCATCCAGAATCAGGAACCAAAAAATTGTAGGGAGGTACAAGTTCTTACTGGTCGGATCGCAGCCCTCAGCCGGTTTATATCCCGATTGTCAATTAAGTGCAAACCATTCTTCGATGCTATAAGATCTAAGAATAAAGATATATGGGGACCTCAGCAGCAGGAGGCCCTCAATCAGTTGAAAGGTTATATGGCCGAACCACCAATTCTATCCGCTCCAAAACCCGGGGAGGTTCTTATTATGTATTTAGCAATTTCTAGTATAGCGACAAGTGCAGCATTGATTAGAGAGGAAGGAAAGAGGCAATATCCAGTCTTCTACATAAGTAAGACAATGACGGATTCGGAGACACGGTATAGTAAAGCAGAGAAAATCATCTTAGCCTTGGTCTATGCCAAGAGGAAGCTTTGGCATTATTTTGAATCTCACAGCATTATGGTACTCACCAACTATCCTATACGGGGTATATTCTATAAGCCAGATCTATCTGGGAGAATTACCAAATGGGCTCTCGAGCTCAGTTCCTTCGACATAACTTATGAGCCGAAGGTGTCGCACAAGGGACAAGCCGTAGTAGAATTTCTTCTAGAATATAAGGACACTCCCGAAGAGCCAGAACCCCCTGAACCGCAGTGGGAGCTTTGGGTTGATGGCTCCTCAAATCAAACAAATGCAGGGGTAGGGGTTGTTAAGTCAACACCCGAAGGCACCAAGTTGCAGCAGTCTATTTGTTTGAATTTCCTTGCTACGAACAATGAGGCCGAATATGAGGCATTACTTGCTGGCCTTCGATTGGCCAACAGCCTCCAGGTACGTTGTTTAAAGGTTTTTAGTGACTCACAGCTTATTATAAAGTAAGTGACAGGTCAATATCATCCCAAAGAGGAAAGAATGAAGGCATATAAAGAACCTATGGAGAATGTTACATGAGGATTCGATCAAATCAAATTCTGTCAGGTACCTCGTGTTGAGAATGCCGAAGTAGATCAATTGGCCATAGCAGCGTCATCCTCAAATGAAGATTGATGAGCGCTGAAAAGTGCATATTTAAACCCCTTAAGCTTAGGCATTCTAGTACCTTTATCTATCTTACTTTACCGTTTTAGATTGATTTCGTATTATTTCCATTTTCAGGCACTTATCCTGAAAATAAGCTAACTCAGCCAAATAAGAGCTTAATTGAAGCAATTCTGGGATTAAACAAAGAAATGAGCAAAGTGGAGAAAGAAGGAAGCAAATGAAGCCAAAGGTGGGAAGCAGCAAAGTTCGATCGATCGAACAATGATCGATCTCAGCACTTCAAGATAGATCCAAGCCTAGACCCAAAAGCATAAAGTCCCAAAAGTTCAATCGATCCAACACCATCCTTCGAT